ACCCGGATTGAAGCCTGCTGTGGGAAAGACCAAGACTAATGGCCTGGACACTCCAGGGCGAAACGGCGCATTAGCGCCAAAGCGAATGCGAAGAACGGCCTCCGAGACGTCTGCTATCCCATTGCGGAGCTCAAATAGTGGGATTGAACCAAAATTACGCTCCGGGACTAATGGCAATGGTGGGGATGGGGATGTCTCTACATCCCGCCTTGGTTCAGTCGCCTCGCGATATTCCCGACAAAAGCTTGGAGATATACCCTGGCAGGCAACGGAGGGCAATGGAGGGCGACGCTGATTCTATTTCTGAGTTTGACTGCTTTTGATCTTGTACATTTCCTTTTCGGTTGTTTTCCACTATCAGCATTGCATACCAACACACTCATTATTAGGATACACACTGTACTACTTTATTGCATTTTCTCTTTACCAGGTTGGTGCGTCTACGTCCTGACGTGAATTGTGTCCATTGTGAGAGCTTTCTTTCAGGCTTCTCTTGCAATCTTGGAAAGCGCACAACAAACAATTTTGAAACCCGTCCAGACTTGCTTGGCCCTTACTTCACATCCCTGTTTACGGCTTTTGGACGGGTGATGCACCCTGAGCCCAACAAGACTTTAAAAGCACAAAATAACCGAATTGGAGATGTAAACATCTTCTGCTCCATGGTTTGACAATGTTCTGATTCGTTCGCAAGTACTTTCCACTTCTCAAAGAAGAGCCGAGTGCTATCGTATTCTTCTATTTGAACTCAATTCCCCAGCGAAAAAATTACTAGTATTACGAGGCGATGACAGCAACTGATGAGCATCTTCGTGTTGATAAGTGTGGCGGCACAAAGTGGGGATCAACAATTTTTGGCGGTATGTACAAAGTTGAACCGCGTCGACGATTATTATAGTGAAGAATCCGATGACATACATTTGTAAGTACATGACAGTAGAAAGTATTCATTCCACAGCTGTTTAAATGACAGCAGTGATGCCGATACGTATAATTTCATCCTCAGAGGTAAGCCAGTTGCTAGTTTCAGGGAACATGATTGCTAGTGACGTCAGTGGATTTTCTGTGTAAAAGACGAATGGAAGCTACCTAGATTTCGATAGACCTCCTCTATGAGGTATCTTCGCATCCGGTTAACGATCACCGAAGCTATTCCTGCATTGACTTTCCTGCTCACGACATGGTAACGTGGAACTCTGGAATAAAAGCAATTAAAAGAAACTCTGGCAAGCAAGATGAGGGCGACGGACATATGAGTAGCAGTTTGTGAGATGGCTCTGATTTCCTGAATCAGAGGAGCACTGCCTTTCGGATCGGCGAGTTTTTCGAGATCGCATATTTTATCAACGAGTGCGCGTATGTTGACATCGAAGTCGTCTCGGAACCCAATGTAGTAAGTGACACCATAAAAACCTGTGCACGAGTTACGATGAGGAAAACAAGATACAAGTTACCAACTGACCTTCGACGGTGCGAACCTTTGAAACATCGTATCGCTCTTTCTCGGACACTCGGGCAACAGCAACTACGCAAACTGACAGAAATATCTGTGGTGGTGACAAATTGATTGTCAGACGGGTCAATGTCATACAATCCCAAAAACTTACCACAACGCGGGGAAGAGCAGGCCATTGACGTATAAGGCCTACAGTCAAGCGTTTTGAGAGTTACATCATAAAACGGCGACCCGAATACAGACCTATGAAAGTATGGGGAACCCCCTTGCCCTCAGCCACTTTGTGGAACACGGCGCAAGTAGGAATCCGCTGAATCACTCTTCGCTCGAGATCCATGACCTTGCCTAGAGCAGAATTTTCACGAATTCCAGGTAAATAATAATAGACTGTAGATTCAATTTCAATGTCCTTTTCTTCGATTTCGATTTCAGGGTCTCCCCTTGCACTGAACTCCTTGGGACCTTGATGTATGAAATGGCGAAGGTTTTGACGGTTTGCGCCATCGAAATTGTCTTCAAGGGCCTGTACACAGGGAGTTTTAGAGTCGTTTGCGATCACAGTGCCAATAATTACTCACTTTGGCCCAAGTCCAAGACCACATGATTATCAGTCTGGACACCAAAGATGAAAATAACCTCTGGAGTTAATGACAAGCACTTACAGAATCAGCCCCATCATGAGTGGTACCCATGCACCATGGGGTACTTTCTTGTACGATGCTACCCAGAAAAGGCCTTTGGAAGAGATCAGTCATTGCAGGACATCCGGTATACAAGATCACCACCATCAAGGAAACCGAACCCGATAAAGTAGCAGAGGGCGAGAACAAGTGGCCGTTGTTTCACGTAATAGATTTGGATAGCGATGAGAATAGTGGTTGAAAACATGACAGTGGTGACTGCAAATCCATAGGCGTTAGTCAGGTTGGTGAGGTTAGAGAAGATGGCTACGATGACGATGGTGGCGATCATAAGGACCCAGTTGACCGTCGGGGTATAAATTTGGCCTTGAAAAACATCAGATGTATGAACCATCCGGACGGGAGGGAAGCTCCTTGAATTGACGAGTTGTTGAACGAGACTGAACGTTGCTGTAATCATAGCTTGAGAGGCAATGATCTGAGAAATATCATTAGACTGTCAGGGACAGGTTATTTTTTATTAAACTTACAGTCGCGAGGATGGCGAAGACGTAAACAATCCTAGCGCTACGTGAGAGAATTGCGAGGAGTTTGACAACCAACTCACCAGAACAAAGCACCATTATGGGGTCCGGGAATTGACTGGTAGAATACGTTTGTTATGACAACGTCCCCATCGTGTACGAGGCGAGCTCCCTGTCCAAGGTATGCTAATGCCAACGAAGGGAAAACAAATCCTATAAAAGACATCTGGCAAGGCTTTGTGTTGGACCCTGGTTGGGATTTAACAATAAAGAGAAAATACCCGTATCGAGAGAACATTAAATTGCCCAATGCTGCCGTTGTTGTGTCAGAATTCAATCTGGGATAATGGCCATTTGACCTACTTTGCAAATATAGCTTCACATCCAGTAATCGCTAAAAGGACACCGGCTAGCAGGTCATAATTCTTGGTGCGTACAAAGACTAGGATGCGAATACAGTCAGACAAGTTGTTGCGCTGGGCTGCTGGTGGGGTAACTCTCACGAAGGACAGCACGAGAAGGGTCAAAAGCGCGGAGAATCCCAGGGAAGACGGTGATATTATATATGCCGGTACTCGCAAGAAGGAGAAACCACACAAAGGAGACTGAGTTACTCGTGTGAGAGGGCCAGGCGAAATTGCGCAAACAAGACGCACTTGGAGCAAATAAAAATGCAATACGAGATGTCCCGAATCTCTGGATGAAGAACAAGACCAAAAGGATAGCCTGGGTGACTTACATGGAGATGATGAATATCGGGTATAATGAATGAGGGCGTACGATTGAAATTGGAATAATGTCTTTGGTGACAGAGGGCTTCGCTACTGCTATACCACCAACTGCACTCGTCACCGAGACCGCTGGCGTAAACACGCCATCGGACATCGTAAGCCTAGTATGCATGGGTGAATGAGAGCTCGCTGATCGCAAGATTGGCCGAACATACGCAGTTCCAAAGAGACACTAAACAATCGTTCAAAACCGCGCTCGCAACAAAACAAGAGAGCGACTCACCCAAACTCGTAACGGCGAGCGAAAAACGTCGTTGATGCGCCGTTTGCCAGTCTTTTCGGACAGAGATTGAGTCGAGCCAGTGAGCGTCCGGTCTGCATTGTGGTCTTTATCCGCTGGTGGATATAGGCCCTGGTAGAGCGCAAAGGTTCCACCTTCACCTGAGTAAAAGTTGTCAATAATCGGTAAGGATGAATTCAACACATACGCCACCTTCGTTGGTTCCGAAATGGAGGGAAGTGACGATCTGCATGCAACAATGAGGACCAGCAAGTACGGTTTAGAAGCGGACGCACATATTTAAGCAAAGGCAAGAGGATAAGAGACCACAAGATGGCACTGATACCGCCGATGACATCTTCTTTAGGGGGTGGTGGTCCTGAAGCAGGCCAGAGACCGTTGAGAACGTACAAAGGAGAAGTTCCAATGTCTGAATAGATGATTCCTGGTAGACTATTGAAATTTAAAGTCTCATTGGCCAAAAAAAGAGTATTTACCAAGTGTCTGAAAGCTCAGAATGAACAGAGGTAGCCCACGAAGGCGTACAGGGGTGCGTTTCGAGTTTACTGGCAGAGGGGCATTTTCCAGGTCCATTGGGGGGCAGACGGTGTGATTACTACCAATGGTGCTGTGAATTTAATGGATACCTGAGATGGGCCCGGGGTATATCAGTCAATTGAAGGGCCAAGTTGTTTCTCATAAAGGATAACACTTTTGAATAAAAAGTATTTGCAACGCCACATCCACTTTTGATGGATTAGGATGTAGAGCCTGATGCCGTTCGTCCGCTGGGGATATGGAAGGAGATAGGTAGAAAAAGTCAATATCAAGTACACCAAGGACATGTTTTTGCTACAAGGTACAATCAACATACAGCTGGGCTCCCACGTCCCAAGCACTGCCTCGGATGACTGATAAATAAATTGTAGAGAATGACAGGAGGGCCAGATCCCAGGGTTGAGGAAAACCCTGCGGAACAAGACTGTCTCCACGATGGAGAAATAGTTCCACGACCGGGGCAACACAGGAAACTGTGTGCACTCTCCTTCCTAAAGCAGGCATCGGACGATGATCCGGAGTCCTCGGTCGAAATGGTCGCAAACAGTGAAACTAAGCGCGTCGAGTTTTCAGTTGCCAGCCTATCGTCATTGGAAAAACTCCCATCTCGAAATAGGTTGGTGAATATACTAATGACACTTTCAAGGTATCCTCGTGAAAACGTTCAAGAGCGATGGACATCACCGGGCCGGACTCTTTACTTTTGACAACGACTTGTGTCGGCCCAGACACTACAGGCAATGTCCAGCAATGAAGGTTGGTTCGGTCAGCTGGCAGCGAGTCACGGCCTCGTCCAAAAAGAGAGTCGGATGATGAGAGGGAGATTCGAACTCCCGCCCCCGAAGAGACCAGATGAAGACAGAACCTTAGTCTGGCGCCTTGGACCGCTCGGCCATCTCACCATGTGATTGTGGGGGACCGGGGCGTCGAGGATGCGGGTGACGTCAAGCTGTGAGTGCAAGCCCGATGCTGAGGTGTTTGGGGCCGAGTAGTGAGTGCTCACTTGCAATAGTACAATGGGCTGGTGAAGGCTGGTGGATGCTCACGAGCATCCGAAGCTCAAGCCCCCGTCTCGCAGCTATAAATATCACAATCGATGAGCCTCGCTTGCTTGCTTGCTTCTCTCTTCTCCAATGGCGCCGTCCCCGTCCCCGCCGTCGCCACTCCCGCTCCCCTCAACGCGCCCCCGCCGCACGTCCTCCATCTCCTCCCCGCTCAACCCAAACGCCGCCTCTCTCAACGGGTCTCCCCGCTCCTCTTCATCAACCACACCCGTCACCCGCCCACGCCCCCCCCCCGCCCCATCCCCCGTGCACGACGTCTTTCCCCGCCCTCGAGGCCAGACTACGTCCGCCATCGCCCCCCGTCCCCCGCCTAGTCCCTCCTCCGGCACAGGCACTCTCGCCTTCCCCCTGAGCCGCGTCGTGTCCGAGTCCAGCATTCCCCACCCCGAAAGCGGCTTCTCTGTCTTCGGCATTTCTATCGGCGCGAGACACAGAAAGGACAGCGTCGACGCTGTCAAGGAGCGCGCCCGCCTAGCCACGCCCCCCATGGCAAGTCCTGCCAGTTGGTGGGGTGGCCGCGACGACCCGTCCGAGGAGGAGCACAGACCCTGGAAGGATCCCCCGAGGAGGAAAAAGACCGTACCCGAGGAACAGACCGAGGGGTGGATACATACCCGCGAGGTCCCAATTGCTCCTTTTGTTATTTTCATGTCTGACATCTTACATAGAGAGTCGGTCAAGCCGCAGCATCTGTGCTAGGTACAGCCGCCGACATTGCCCACGAAATCTTGTTCACTGGTATCAACGTTCTCGAATATGTTCCAGTACCCGGTCTTGCTCCCGCTGCCCATGTTCTCCTTCAAATTTGGGATGCCTTGCAGAGCGTCGACGTGTGTCCTCAATGTCTTTTTTTTTTTTTTCAATCTTTTTGGCTGACAGGATGTTTTCATAGACCAATCGACTACAATGTCTCAGACTGACAGAACGCTGCGCCGACATCTTGCTCTCCGTCAGGGAAGAGGTCAAGGAGGCGGGCGATCAAGTCGACGAGGAGCTTCAGGCGCCCATCACAAAGCTCACAGAGTACGTGTTCTTCTTTTAATCCTCGAGTGCGGGCTCTAACCCTCCCTCCCAACCAGATCATTCCACTCTGTCCAATCCTTCCTTCTCAAACAAGTTCACCGGCCCTTTCTCAAGCGCTACCTCAAGCGCGACGAGATCCAAGGCCAGATACGCGCGTGCGACGCGGGGCTCAGCGAGGCCCTCGGGATGTTTGGCCTTAGCATCCAGATCAGGATTCTGAAGAGCGTGCAAGAGGCCGAGAAGAGGAGGAGCGAGGATCAAAAAGCCTTGATGGGGATGCTGGCAGCCGGAGGAGGAGGCAAGGTCGTTGGGCTGGGTTTGAGTGGGATGGAGACCGAGACACCTGGTATGGGTATGAGTGAGAGTACGATTACGGTTCGCCCGTCTCAGTCCCATGTTGGGCTCGAGCAGCCTCGAACCCCTACTCTGTCCGCCCCATCGCCATCACCCCTACCAACGCTGGCTGTCTCCGTCCCGGATGCCTCCCAAGTCCTGCCGACGCTCAAGACCGTGCAAGCCTCGCAGGACGCGCTAGACGCAGCACGGGACAATGAAGATCTGCGCGCGCTGATGCGTGCTGCGCTGAGGGCAGGGAGCGATGTCGAGATGCTCAGGGTGCTCCAGATTGGCAGGGAAGAGATGCCAGAGGCAATCAAGACGCTTCAGAGGGCGTTGGAGAGAGTGGGAGACGTGGGTGGAGGAGGGGAGGAGGAGGAGGAAAGAGGAGAGAAGGAGAAGAGAAAGTGGGGACTAGGGAGAGCGCGTGCGTCGACGGGGGTGGGGACCGCTAGTCCAGGGAAGAGGGCGAGTGTGGAAAGTCGAAGGAAGAGTGTAGATGTCCCACCGCGGACGGCAACGCAGACGACCGGTATTAGGGATAGCTACGGTACCGACACGCTCGATCGGGAATTTATCGAGTCCGGGATCGACGCGCTCCGACGCATGTCACGCGGTGCCGGTATCGCGACGTCCTCGCTTCCCCCGTGGACGATCACGCGGTACGAAGTGGACCGGGAGCAAAAGATTGGCGTTGGGTTCTTTTCGGACGTGTACCGGGGGACGTGGCGCGGCCGGACTGTGGCGATCAAGGTGCTTGCTCCGACGACGCCAAGGGAGTTGTTTGTGCGCGAGGTGCAGGTGTGGAGGGGTCTTCGGCACCCCGGGGTGCTTGAGCTGTATGGAGCGAGCAGCGCGTGCGGGGAGCGCCCGTGGTTTTTTGTGTGTGCGTATATGAGGAGGGGGAGCTTGGTAGAGTTTTTGAAGAGGGTTGAGAGGGGCGTTGAGACGAGGGTCGTCTTTCCGATTTGGGAGGGGACAGATGGTGGGATGCTGAGGGAGGGGGATTTGTTTAGGTTCATGTTGGAGATTGCGCAGGGGATGGAGTATTTGCATGCCAATGGGGTGTTGCATGGTGATCTCAAGGTACGTTGGGGTTTTGGTCCTGTTTTGGAGAGTGTGTGCTTGATCGAGACAAAAAGGCGGCAAATGTGCTTGTCGACGACAATGTGCATTGTGTCATTTCGGATTTTGGGCAGAGCGAGATGAAGTCGGAGGCGTATAGGATCAGCGGAACGACGCCACCTCGTATGTTTCTTCTTCTTCCTCTAGTATCTCGTGTGCTGACTTGGGTGTAGGTGGCACATTGAGATGGCAAGCCCCGGAACTCATGTCGGGCGAGAGCCAGCTCGCTCTGACCCCGCAGATGGACGTCTACGCATACGCAATCTCGTGCGCAGAGATTGTCTCGATGGGTAAACTTCCTTGGCCGCTCGCAGACGACGATGCCGTTCGTCACTTTGTGCTCAGTACGTCGTTGTCGTTCATTCTCCAAAGTTGATCGCTGAGACGTTTCATAGAAGAAAACACCCGCCCGACACTTCCGTTCTCGCGCTTCAACACCCCGCTGCTCCAGGACCTCCTTCGTGTGTGTTGGCACCACGACCCCAGTGTCCGTCCCTCGTTTGGCACCATCGTCAAGGACGTCAAGGCGATGCGCCAGGCGTTCCTTTCTGATGCGGCGAATAATACACTACTTGGAGAGGAGCCTCCGATGCCCGTGTCGTCCCCGATTATGATCGATAAGAGCAGGCAGTGGGAGTGGGAGTGGGATCACTTGAGATCAAAGCCTTCGCCCGACTTGCGCCCTGCGCCCTTGCCCTTGATGGGTGGTACCCCTCGTACGTGTTTGACAACTTGTCGTTTGTCAGGTAGCTGAGACGGGGTGTCTTTCAATAAAAGCTGCGACCGACGGCCCCTTACACGGCAGCTCGCCCGACTCCTCGTCGGCCACCGACAGCACGTTTGTCACGGCCGATGAAGAACCATCTAGACCGACTTCGCCAGCCTCCCCGAACAAGGCGGGAGGATACCAGTCTTATCGCGAGGATATCGTGTCGTCGGGCCGTATCCGCATGCCAGAGCCCGTGCTCTACACGCCGTCGATTCCTTTGGGCTCCTCGTCCTCGCTCGCGTCGTCGCTCTTTACACATACGCCATCGATCAGCTCGCTCGAGGAGCTAGGGCTGACGACGCCCGGGCATCCGGTGTCGGAGATTGAGGGGTATGATAGCCCCGCGCCACAGGACGAGAGAATCAAGTTGATGAGGGACGAGAGGAGGTATAGGCTGTTGTTGGGTCATCAATTCCACTCGTCGTGTAAGTTGCCGTTCCTCACCTGAATCATTACTCATTGGTCTTTTATAGTGACTCTTCCACTTTGGGAGCCCTCTCCGGTCAAGCTCGGTGCGGTGGGGTATCTCTCGAAACCAGAAGGAAAGTTTGTCACGTTATTCAATTCTTTCTCGCCAGAGAAGGGCGATATGAACGCTGTACGTGGACTGCCGTCGCTTTACGGGTATGGACGGGTGTCGTCGGGGAACCAGCGCCAGGATAGGAGGAACGCGGCGCAGAGGGGATACGATGCGTTCGTTGGGCTCCTTACGTTTAGAGGCAAGAGTGGGGCTGTTTCATCGTAAGTGTGTTGTTGCTAGGAATTTCTGGCCCATGGCCTGATCGGCGAGATTTGTATACAAGGCAAAGCATCGCACGTCGGTACTCGTTCCCACTTCGAGCTGGACACAAGACGGCGCATATGTTTACAGAGTCGACGATGTATCGTTACATGGAGAGTTTGGAGGTGCCGAAGAAGTGGTTCAAGGCAAATGTCGATGCGATCATGCAGATCTATGGGCCTACGCTTCATATCCAAAAGGAAGATCTCTTCCTGGGTACGCGCTTCTCATTTCTGTTTTGTGTTTTTAACAACTTGATGCAACTCTCTAGTCATTGGTACCCTCGACGCTCAGGAGTATGCGCTGTTCGTGAGCCATAATCATCCTGACGGACAGGTATGAATGACTGCTTGGCTTTGACTGACTTGTTGAAATATCCGATATAGGCACATTTCAACGTCTTTTCGTCGCCTAGGAACAACCAGCCCTGGGGAACATTTACCACAGACACGGAGGTCCTACATGAAATGGGTCCCTCATATAACGAACCCATTCCAGGACATGCTGTCTCCTCGAGCAAGGTATCCAAGGTAGGACGAACTTGGGATACCGTCCTCATTGCTAGACTACGTTTCAAGCCGGACGCGGTGGAACCAACATCGCTCTGAGATGAATACCCTTCTTCCCTTTTGCATCGTGACATTTGTGGTACTTCTTTTGCATCTATATCATCATCATTGTTCTTGTACTCCCCCCTCTACTAGTCCCTTCAGTATACCCCGTCATCATGATCACGACACATACCTACATTACATTACTCCAGGACAGTGCACATACCACATACCGTACATTACACCCAGACCA